TCCACACGTAAAGCAGGGGGACCATGGCAACCAATGTCCTGCTGCTGCAAAGATTGTTAGAAATATGCTGAAGAGGGTCATGGCCTCCGCTACAGAAGAAAGCAAAAAAACCCATGGTCTATACTAATCCGATGATAGGGTAAAATTCCTTCCCTATGAAAGGAATTCCTTCCCCAAATATGGCAAACTTCCTTCCCAAAATATTGCAATTAGTCTGACCCTGAATAGAGGGTAAAGATCCTATAGTCAAGAACCTCTTGTTTTAAGTCGCAGCAGAAGCATTGGCACACCCCAGTCAAAGTCTCCAGTCTTGTCTGCAGCCAACACCCAGTGTCTCTGAGGAAGGGTTAAAAAAAACAACTCTGATACACATAACAGCAGGAGTGTAAAAGTCCCCTCCCAGCCCCATATGGAAACCAGCAATGCCCAGAAACATGGGGAAAAACATAGTAGAACATAGGCATAGCTGTGCTTAGATCATCTCTGACCAGTTGCTGTCCAGCCTCCCCTTGAACACCTCCAATGATGGAGATGCAAAAACTCCCCGAACTTGTCTGTTCACTTGCCTCACTGTTTAAACAGTGAAGATTTTTTTCTTGATATCCAGTCTAAGCCTACATTGCTGCAACTTCCAGACAAGTCTGTGTCCTGCTCTCTGCAGCAAGAGAGAAAAGATGTTTTACTACTTCTTTATGGCAACTTTCAAGTATTTGAAGACATGTTGTCATGTCCCCTCTTAAGCACCTTTTTCACAAGCTGAACATGATCACCTCCTTCAACCTATCCTCATGTAACTTACCTTGCAAGCACTTTGTCATTTTTGTCACCCATCTCTCTAACTTTTCCATATTCTTTTTAAAATGTAGAGCCTAAAACAGCACTGAATACTCTAAATGAGGCCTAACAAATGCTGAGTAGAGAGACACTATCACCTCCTGTCTCTTTCCGCAGAGGCAAACTCAAATTTTCCTGTTACACTTTCTGTAAACTATTGTAATCCTTTTCATGAAATAGTATTTTCCCCAGGTTTGCTGTCTCTTTCTAGGTTTAAACAAAAAACATATTGAGTGTTGTGACCAAAGTTAATCAAATGTCAAAGATAATGTTGAAAGTAAATTTAAATCTAATACCCAAATATGTATGCTAGCTCTCATAATATGGATGCAGATTATGCATGAAAGGACTGGGTTTCCCTTAGAGTGAATGCACCCACAATGCACATAATGTGTCTACAAAGATATGATTTTAGTATAAAAGAACTGGGGTTGGTGAACAAAATTTCCACTTTGCTCTGATATTATACTTCTGGTATGTTTTTTTATAAGTAGCAGCATGAATTCCTGGTTGAATTTCATGAATTCCTGATATTGATAGAAATTAGGTCTTTCTAGGTCACTCTGTTTATCTCTCTGCCAGTATAAGGCATCTTCCATATAGCAGTCCCTGTGTAGATTGTTCTTCTAAATGCTTTGTCATGTTGAATTTTAAGTGATTCAATGGATTGGACACTTCTCCTGTGACACTATTCCAATCTGACAGATTTCACTCTTAGGATATATTTTTCCTTGATAGCCATCTTACATTTTTTGTTGCTAAAATTCAGTCTGTTATTACTAAATTATAGTCCACAAACCTTATATGGCCTTCTATACTTCTGCTCTTACATCAGGGTCAAGAAAAAAACAGAGATTATAACACTGGATCAGATATCGGTCCGTCTGATACAGTGTTCTGTCTCTGACAGAGGCCAGAAACTTCAGAAGGAGATGTATGAAACCCATAGTAAGCAGATGTGGAATACATTGCCCTCATAGAAGGTGTCATCCTACTTTCCGGTAGTTAAAGTTTGGCTTATGTCCTGATGAACTACAGTTTAATATCCCTTCCAGAATTTTAACATTAATTATGATAACTGATTAATCCAGGGGTTTTCAACCTTTTTAAAGAAATGTACCCCTTCTGGTGGTGGTGGCTGGATGGGGGGGTGGGGCTTGCACGCTGCCACCACCACTGCCACTGCGCCCTGATTTCCCATGGCCAGTTGCACGTGCAGCTCCGCAGGCTGCTGGTAGGCCTCGCACCCGGCCAATTGCGCGCTGCCCATCAACAACCCACAGAGCCGCATGTGAGACCAGCCATGGGAAAGCGGAGGTGTCCGGCCGGCTGGGTGGCACCTACGTGACTTGCAAGGGGTAAGTCCTTGTCCTCCCCCTGCCCTCTCCCCAGCCCTGTTCCTGGGAGGTGGCGGCATGGGGTGGTGGCACTCCATCCTTGCCTGCCCACGTGTACCCTCTAGGCCAGGGGCAGGCAATTATTTTGGGTGGAGGGCCGCTTACTGAGTTTTGGCAAGCCATTGAGGACTGCATGACAGGCAGCCCAAGGCAGATAAATACTTATTTTTTACATTTTTTAGGGGCCCCAAGGGCCAGATAGAATGGCCTGGTGGACCGCATCTGGCCCACAGGCTGCATTTTGCCCACCCTTGCTCTAGGACCTTTCCAAGTACTTCTAGGGGTATGCGTACCCCTGGTTGACAACCCATGGATTAATCCTTGAAATATCCAGCTTTCGTTCTTTCAGTCTGTCTGGCTGTCTATTTCTCTTGCTCTCCTTCTTTCTCTCTCTCTTTTTCTCGTTCCAGAAAGTTAGCTAAATTCCTGGCCTTGGTGATTTCCTGTAGCCAAGATCTCAATGTATAGCATGAAGGTGCTCAGAAGCTACTGTAATGGAAGGAAAATGTTAATATATTTGTATTATTTTAGTTTTTGTTTTCAACTGCAATTTAATAGAAGACTTTATTCTGGTATATTATTGTTCTTGTTTGCTTTAGGGGAATCTTTAATGAAATTCACTGAAACCTTTGTAAAAATGTCTTAAAATAACCAATTTGTGTTTGTTATTTGATTGTAACAATTGTACTTTAATAATTACTACTGTTTAATGCTCTTAGACTGTCAGTTCATAGTCATGTTGTGTAGCATCCTATGTCATTATGAGTCTTATTGCTAAGGAAAGTCCACATTAAAATAGCATACAATAGCTTTTCAAACTCCTGGTGAAAATCATGCATGCATAATGCAGTGTGCATATTTCAGTAAAATCATACTCTTAGAATTAAGGCACTTTTCTAATCCACTCTTCCAAAGAGTTATAAATAAACTAGGAAATGGAGTATAGATGTAAAATATTGAGTTAAATTTCTGTCTGAGAAGAAAAATGATGTTTGAGAAACAAAAGAAAGAAAAACATAATCCTTAATCCATTTGAAAGTTTTAAAAATAAAGGTACCTACTGAAAAATCAGAATAAATTATTTCATAGCGAGGGATATGGTAATTTTACTAATTATTTCTCCTGTTAATGGTTTGAGATCAAAAAACAAATAATAATAGTACTAGACATGTACTATTTGAACCACTTCTTTTAGAAAGGAATTATTTTTAGAGTAAATTTATCTACACTATTAATTTTAAGAATAATATCCTGTTTTTAATTAAAAATAATCTAAAGTCTTAGTCCTAGTGTATCATTTTGCCCCAGCTTTCTGTTTATATGGAGTGATCCCAGAATGTGACCCTGAGGCAGGTGAAGAGAAGGGCAAGCATTGTAATTGATGCAGCCTGGAATGTCAAGATGTTTTTTTCCCCCAAAAAATCTTATTTGTTGAAACTGAAATGTTAGTTGAAATGTGCTAGTTTCAGCAAAATTTTCAGCATAGGTCTCTGCTGAAATATATAAAATAAATTAAATAATAAATATTTTATGAATAATATATGACATTTTATATATAAATAATATATATTTATTTTTATAAATAATATGTAAAATATATTAATGTCAAATATTAATACATTAGTGTTAATGTAGTGATACTAGAATATATAGTTCATTATGTGATATTGATATATTAATATTAAGTGTATAATATATAATATATATAATTTCAGTTAGAAACCAGACGGAAACCTCCTCCAGAAACACCAGTAGCCCTGTGATTAAGGCATATATACTTGGGGTATGGGAGACCCAGTTCACATTTGGGTTCTCTCTAATTCAGGTCAGGCAGCAGAACTCCCTCATTGCTCTAGCCACCTGCTGATTGACTGTTATGGTTTGGTTTCTTCTGTCTCTCTCTTTTCTGAAAAAAGGTTCATATTTTCTCTTTGCAAAACAGGAAAGCTTTCAAAATCATGAGCGTTTTGACAGGCTGGGAAAATAATTTCCCACTTACCTCTAATGATCAATTATGTTTTTGCTCTCTATACTGGGTGGAATTGGGACTGCTAAATTGTATTATAGGTCTTGTACTGCAAAGGCGATGTATTTTTTAGTTAAAGCAGTAGAGGTTAGGGTGAAATCTGAAGTCTACTGAAGTCAAAACTCTTGATGTTTTGACAAAGGAAGATCTGAGTTTCATATATACTGTCAGTGAATTTCTGAATCATTACTGTATGCCTCATAGTGGCAAGCATGAAATCCTGATCTGCCACAGATTTGCTCTAGTTAGTATTATCTTAATTTTACATGTGGCATAGGAATGATGTGATTGAGACCATTGTCATGACTCCAGCATAGAAATGTCCTATTGTCTGCCTCAAGTTTGATTACTAGAAATATAGAAAATATGCTTTAAAATGTTTTTCCCAAATATAATTTCTATAATTTCCTAAGGTGTGAAGTGTATTAGGTGGTCCAAAATATTTTTTTAAAGAATTGGATGTGACTGATATACAGCAGCCATTGAAGTATTGCATAGCCACTATGATTGTACTTCTTTCTAAACTAATGAGTGGCATTGTGATTGGGTCTGTTTGTGGCCCATTTAATTCAATATTAAGAGGCTGTCTAACAATCCATGATGAAACTGAACAGGAAGAAATATTAAACTGTCTACTTAACCTGTTTAGATCAGAAGAGACAGCTTTTGCCTCAAAGCTGTTTTTCTTCTTTGTTTCACTATGGAAAAACTTTACTAACTATCATATTTGCATCTGTTTGTAGGAATCTCTATGGCCTTACTTATTTGGAGTGATTATTGTTCCTTCAGTGATCCAAGTTGGGATTTTGCCTTTCCTTCCTGAAAGTCCTCGCTATCTCTTACTTGAAAGGCATGACATACACAGAGCAGAAAAAGGTATGGTTTATATATTCTTCTCCCTATAGCATTTATTTTTATATGAAATGGGCATACACTGGCAATGAATACATGCTTTTCCATAGCCTAATTGATAAATATTATGACAGCAAACAGTCCTTTTATGCTTATTCTCTCTTCCCATTATCTTTTTATGCAGTGAATTGGCTGCTAGCTTGCTTTATACCTGAAATTCCTTCGTTTTCTATGGAATAAGTACAGCATGGTCAGTGGTGTTAAAAGTTTTCCCAAACTACCCTTGTGTCTTCACCTGGCAGGATTTATCTAGAGGGATGAAAGATTAGTTCATTTTCCATAGACACTCATTATATACATACTCAGCCTCACTGCTAAAGAGATCACCAAATGTGAAGCTTTTCTGTAGTAACTGAATTAAACCTATATGCTTATGTAATTGAATAGGCTTTAGATGGTAAGCCCACTTTAAATTTAGGCCACATTCATTTAGGATGAGAAGCTCCAATATACCCTTATCTTCCTGAGCCATCCATCCATATGCTGCAACCACTCCTGAGATCTGTTGGCTGTGCAGGACAGTTTCATTGCCACATTCCCAGGTTTGGCATGTGCATGTGGAAGCAGGTTGGTGTGGCATGCCTGAGAATATTCCCTCCTGAAACACTGGGCATGGCCCTAACTGATTATTGATTTCAATTAAAGCTGTGGAGTGTCTAGGTATTGGTACGAGAGCCTGATTTTTAGGTTCTTGTGTCTGAAGCCTTGGTCAGGATCTCTGAGGGTGCATATAAATGTTACATTTTTACAAGCAGAATTGCAGTTCCTCCAGGAGAAGTCTGAGGTGTACAACACATTTTCTACAGGAACAAAAAGGGCAGGTTCCATAAAAAAATCATTCAACTCCAGTGAGGTAGAAGTACCCCAGTAGAGTTTCTACTGGGAAAATGAATGCTTACGCACATACTGATAGGAGCCACCATGCTGCCTTCCGCTATCCCAGCATGCTTTGCTCTGTCCGTCCCTCCCCTCCAGGGAGACAGTCCATCACTCAGGCTGGATTCCACTGTTCCAGCCAAGCATAAAGCAAACTACTCCTCCTGTCTCCTTTGGGGCCAAAAACCCCAGCCTCTTTCACCAGACCTGCACTGTACTCCAGAGGTGCAGGGAGATGATGTTGACGCAACTGTGTGCCTGTAGCAAGTTTGGTGCCCCAGGGTTCCCTTTTTCCTGGCTTGCCATGCCTTGATGTAATTAGTTAATTTGTAAAAAGGGAGGCTGCCCTAGGGTCCCAGAGCAAGCCTTCATCTGTCCATCAGCCAACAGGTCCCTCCAGACTCTGCTGGTCCCAGTCCTGCCCCTCAACCACTAGGTGGGCCTTCCTGGCCTGTCCATGCCCCCCAGGGCACTTGTTGCCTTAAGGGCTATTTGTGGCTTCCTTCTGCCCCTATAGCCACACCCTTGCTTCACAGATGTCCCCAGTTATCATTTTGAGGCAAAAGCTGTCTCTTGTTGGGCCCCTCTCAGCCTAGGTTTCCTGTGCCAGACTGGGCTTCCAGGCTTCAGCCCCTGTCTTGCCTCCCCTCCCCTTGAGCTGTGAGTCCCTGACCCAGGTCTCACCCCTCTTGGGCTGTGGACCCCTGGCCCTGGTTTAACACGTCTTGGGCTGTGAGCCCATAGCCCAGGTCTCATCCCTCTCTGGCTGTGGACTCCTAGCCACAATTTCACTTCTCTTGTCTCTGTGACTTTGGCCCTCGTTTTGTCTCTCATCTCCTTTTAGACCTCCATCAATAGTTGCGCCCTCTCCCCTGCCCAGGTCTGCGTTCCACACTGATAGGTCCACACTGACAGGGTCCAGCTGGACGCTGATTAAAAAACTGTTCCCAGTGGCTGAGACCAGCCAGGCGACCCCATGAACATGCATCCCTCCAGCTGCAAAAAACTAATAAAGGCTTTACTTAATCAGAATACAAAGGCTACCTAGCAGAGACTGGCATTAGGGTTCCTTTTACCATGCCCCACCATGAGGATGGGAGGCAGATAGGAAGGTTAGGTTGGAGATGTGTGAAGAGACATAGTTACAGAAAGTGGTGGCTCAGTATACGGAGTCAGTTCAGCAACCATCTCCATGAATGTGCCCTGGCACATGTGCAAGTTCTGCAGCCATTGCTTATCATCCCAGCTGCCCAGGACAATCAGCTCCCACCAGGCCCTGCTCATCTCAGGGAACCTGGAGTGCTAATCGGTGGTCAGGAGTTGATCCCAGAGCATCCCAGACTGCATGGCTTTCAGTAGGGCCTCATTTTCCTTGGTCTCATAAAATGATCAGCCGGACCCATAAGGCTTGGTCCCATATACGCCAGTAAGGAGCCTTGTGCGGGAGTGTATACAAAGGAAGTAGCATCCCTTGGGTTACCTGAAGACAGCCACAACAAATCTTCTTAAGTTTCCAGTGAGAGGAATGCAAGAGGACAAGGAGGTAGCAGGCATCACCGCTCCTGGGTCCCTCAGCTCCTGTGAGAGAAGTTAGTTCTACTAAGAACTAACAAGAGAGAGGCTTTTATCTTGAAGTCTCACAGCAGAAAGCGAGGGAGGGGGGACTGAACAGGAGCCGGGGAGCATGCACATGCCCGCCAATCAGGGCTGCCCTGTGCGCTCAGCTGCTCTTGGCAGTTTCAGGAGCCAGAGGAGCCCACAAAGCACAATGGGATGCGTGCACGGGAGCCCTTTGGCTGTGGCCCATTGGCAAGGCAGGTTGTTTGTGCAGCACTCACTAAACCCTCAAATGCTTGTACAGTGCTCTGCTGGGTGCGTTTTCCAACCAGGGAAACAAAACCACTAGACTTCCAGTGGTTCAGTAGAATGGTTGTATGTACCCTGAACCAAGCTGGAATAGTTCTGCGGAGAGTTTTAAAACAAGCGAAGAGTTTTAAATAAGGTCTAAAAAAAGAGCTTGACAAGTTAATTATGGATTAGGATGTTGTAGTAACTTTCAAAACTGCATTATAAAGCATTGTTTTGAAAATGAATCATGTTCAATGGCTATTTTCTTCTGAAGCACTATACTGGAAAAAATGTGTTACATGTGTGCTTCGTGTTGTTGTTAATCTGTGACTTAAAGAGCTGATTATTTCATAGTTATTACATTCCTATTTCCATGGTGATTAAAATAGAATTTTGCAGCTATCATAATTTGGGTTGTCAAAGGGAAGAATCCTTGGCTTTCTGCTCAAGACTGTAGGTTTGCAGTTTTTAAACACATTGGTTCATTTGTAAAATACCTACACATGGATTCTTGCATTCCTTTTAGCTGGGTTGAGCTCTTGTACCAAATCAGCACATTTTAGAATTAACAGATCGCATGACTATCTGGAGACATCATCTAAATGTAGTAATTAATTTGCAACCAACTCAAGAGCTAATTTTCTTTCTGGCATGAATACTATTCTATTCATTGTTTTCCTTTTTATGTATGATATTCTCATGCTGTCACTATAGTAATATTTTCCATCAGTGCATTTAATGATGTGACTAACAACTGTCATGAATGGTTAATCCTCTCTTTCATCTTCTTCCTAGAGACAGATGTGTGTATGCACAGAGGACAGTGTATTGTTTTGATAGTGTTCTGGATTTGGATGTTTTTAGTATATGTTGTGTTGTGTCACACTGTTAGACCTGGGCAAAACTCTCCGCATTTTCTTCGATGCAGTTTTATGAGTAGTAAACAGAGTAGTAAGCCGAGAGAAAGCGCATAAAAAAATGCAAACCAAACGGGGCCATTCCTTGGCCTGGCTTTTGATGAGAATGATTTCCCAGAGCTGAAATTCAGTGCTTTGTAGAGGGTGAATTAAGAGCTATGCACCTGAGTGAAGCAGGTAAATAATGCCTAGACCCATGCTGGCACTCTGTCCAGATTCTGACCCAAAAATCTGACACCTGATCACTTCCCAGTTGTTAGTTGCACTTTGGAGCTGCCTCTGCCTTCATATTAACACCTAAAAATATAAAACTATAATTCATCATCTAGCTTGGCAGTTTCTGTCCTTTAGGACTCTACTGGATGCCACAGACACTTAAGGCTATATTGCAGACTGTTCCAAAAGACCTGTGTGACCCATCATGTTCGTAAGATGTTCATAGTGACTGTGTTTTCTTATGTAGAACAAGGATTGAATTTGGTAATTCTGCTGCTTTAAAAGGAAAACAAAACTGTAGATTCCCAAGACCAGAACATACTAGATAAAATTTGATGCAAATTTAACAGAAAGATTCTTTAAGAAGCTGGCATAACGTTTGGGCTTTATTTAATTGCAATGATCAGTGCTTATAATGGCTCAACAGCACTTTTTACATACGTATTCTGAGAACGAGTTTATTGGTAATCTGGCAGTAAAGGATATGGTTGGCAAAATAAAGGAAGATTTTGAAGTGGAAGGCAAAGCTGTCATCATAAAAGCAGTGATATCAACACCCAGTTGCCAGTGATTTAGTAGCTGAAATAAGTTTTAGGAACCAACTTACTCGAAATAGCTTTCTTGAGTCAAAAAAGTGATAAAGATGGGCAGTCAAAGAGACTACACTTTCAAATTTAGAAGCTTTTCTAATGCAGGAGTCTTATACCATTAAATCTTATAAAATGGAGAATATCATTATGCCCATTTATAAATCCATGGTGTGTCCACACCTTCAATACTGTGCCCAGTTCTGGTCCCCATACCTCAAAAATGCAGAGAAGGCACAGAGAAGGGCAACAAAGATGAATAGTGGTGTTGGGGGACTTCCATATGAAGCCATCCAAAGAGGTTACGTCTGTTCAGTTTAGAAAAGAGATTCTTGAGGGGGACATGATAAAAGTTTACAAAATACTTATGGTGAAGAGAATGTCATTAAGGATTTAGTATTTACTGTCTCTCTCAATACAAGAACTAGGGGTCACAACATGAACCTAGTAGGTAGTAAGTTTAAGACTAACAAAAGGAAGTTCTTTTTCACACAGCATGCAATTAAAGTCTAGAACTCAC